CCTAGATGCTATGATAATACACATAACAACAAATTCCAGTCCAGTGAAGCCCAGCACTGCTACATTGAATGATATCATCTCACTGCAATGCCATGCATCATCATAAGAATGGCCATAGTGGGTCAGACCAGTGATCCATCTAGCCCAGTATCCTGTCTTCCGACAGTGGCCAGTGCCAGATCCCTCAGAGGGCGTGAACAGAATATGGCAATTTATCGAGTGACCCATTTCCAGTTGTCCAGGCCCAGCTTCTGGCAGTCAGAAGTTCAGAGCCACCCAGAACATGGTGGTTGAAGAACCCACCCACCCCCATCCGTTGCATCTAAAGAACTCACTGAAACAACAGGTTGTCAAATTATGTCAGACTATCATCGTATTGCACCACAACATTGACACACCATGGCACCAAGAAGTTGTACTGGAAAAAAGAAGTCCCCACACTGACAATGGATCAGCGTGATCATCAGAGTGCCAGCATTCTGTGTCACCAGGCTGGGCAAAAAGGTCATCTCACCACAGCACCATGACCTCAAGCAGGGTCCAGCTGGGACCCCACGCCTGTCATCATGCTGCCCAGTTAGGTGACATCATCAGGTTGAGCCACTGCCTCAACGTGGATGAGGTCATCACGTCAGCACGCGCATCGTTTACGTTTGGTTTGCTCATCATGCGGTGCAGTGACGTCATCACACTGCGCCACTGCCGCGTCGCCAATGAAGTCATATGTCACCAGGCGTATCATCGTTCTGTGATGACACGTTGCGCGGTGACCTCATCAGGCTGGGCCATGGGCCATCACATCACCAAGCCCCCCCCCCGCTGTCCCCGCAAATGGGGAGCGAGGCAGGCAGGCGCCCGGGCCCCTGGGGAAAAGCCCGGAGACGGGCTGGGCGGGATTTCCGGCACAGCCGGCACGTGATTGGCAGGCGTGGGTGAACGGAAGCGGAAGCAGCGTAGCGCGCAGGCGCAGCGGCAGTCTGGGGCCGCGGGGGAGGGACGCGCCGCCCGCCCGAGAGAGAGATGGAGACGCGGGGGGAGCCGCAGCCGGCGTGAGTGAGAGAGAGAGAGAGAGAGACCTGGGGCCGCGCCGCCCTGCGCCCCCTCAGGCAGCCTGGGGCGCGCGGGCCGAGCAGCTCCCCTGGCGGGCGCGGGGCCGGGCCTGCTCGCGCCCCCTCCCCGCAGCCTGGCGGCGGCTGCCCTTTGCCGCAGGCCCGGGGGCGGGTTCGCCTGGGCCGGGGGGCAGCGGCCGTTTGTTCTCCAGCTCCGCAGCGGCCCGGCCCGCTGCTCGCTCGGGGCCCCATCCCCGCCACGGGGAGCCAGGCCGCCGCCCCCGGGGCTGCCTCTCGCCGGCAGGGACACGGGCGGGCAAGGGGCCGGGCGGGCTCGTGCCACTGAACCCCGCGGGGTTGTTTTTGTCTCTGTGCCTTGAACCTGCCCTGTGCTGGGCGAGAGCGTGTTTTAGTCTGTGTCTCTGCTTGGCCCTTGGGTAACACCTAATCGTAGAGTTTATCAGAGACGATCAGGGCTGGAAGGGGCCTCAGGAGGTATCTAGTCCAACCCCCTGCTCAAAGCCGGACCAACCCCAACTAAATCCCCAAATCCTTAAATGGCCCCTCAGGGATTGAATTCACACCCCTGGGGCTGGTAGGCCAATGCTATGGGCTGGGAGGCAGTCACTGTGGTAACGGGGGACTGCTCCTCCATGAATTCACCATGAACTGCTCCACCCTGCTTCTAGGGTCTTTCCCAAAAGCCCACTTGAGAAATTAAGTGTAAGCATTGTTATCACTTTGCCTGTTACCATGGAAGGTGATTAAATACAAGGCACTTGAATTTAAAACTTTTCCTCTAGAAACGAGAGATTTTGAAGGCAATAGTTATGCTGAGAGAACTTCTGGATTTTTATTTATTTATTTATTTCAACCAACCAACCATGAGTTCTGCTTGTGGCCAATCTGACCAATAGCCTCTTCACCTCACAAACACGTTAAATCTACTCTGTCCCAGACTCTACCATCAGACACAGCCGTAATAATAGGATACGATTCCGGAATCTGTTCACGTCACGGGTGGAATGAGATTCTCAATCCTAATGGGTTTGGGTAGCAAGGGGGAGGAATACTGTAACAGACATGTCCTAACTTACTGGGGCAATGTTTCTTTTATTCCTTTGGTGTCTCTTTAAAAACTATGTGAATCTTCTGGTGAAAGATGTTGAGTTGACAACCAGGGGACTGGAGTCCTCTGTTTGTCCCCAGAACAGCCAGCTTCCTCCAAACTGCACCCGCCAATGTGTTTCAATGTAGCCTTGAAAGGAACCCTTTCAAACGATGAGAGTAGCTGAGTCTCTCATTTACTATATGGTCTTTTGGAAATAGACTGTCAGGCTACCAACTGTCTAGCTAAGGCCTCATTATTTGCTCTGCCCCCGTTGCCGTCTGGTGGTGCACATGACTTTATAAAATTATTTCTAAGGGGATGGGAGTGGGGGAGAGTTATTTGAGGCAAGAGGAGAAATGTAGAATTTGTATATACTGTCTCCTGATTTCCCTTAATGGTATATAAATGTCCATGATTTAGTCTTGCTGATCCACTGAGTGTAAACATTTTGTATAACCTCAGATTTTTTTGCATAATCTTTTTATTAGTCATTTTCCCTTTTTGAACCAAGATAAAACCAAACCTCAGGGATGCGCTATTAGCAAAATTATCATCATCTGACTTTACAAGGGTAAAATGGAAATGATGTACATCTGTAGCTTTGAATATGGAACTTCAAACCTTCCCAGGTTATGATGCCATATGTCTTTAAAGAGGGACTTTCACACTGGGACATTGTCTGATGCAAACAGTTTTGCCACTTTTCTCCTGCTGTAACTATCAAATATTTGTTTAAAGAGACGCTTCTTTTCCTCACAACTTGGCTGCTTCTGTCTAAAAAGTCTTCATTCCTACTTCATTGTAGTATCAAGTTCAAGAGGAGGAAGCTGAGTGGAAACTGTTCTTTGTAATCATAATGGGAGCTGTAGGAGTAAAGGGAAGACATTTCTGTTAAAGGATAGAGGAGAATTCTTAGCTCTCATTCCACCTTGTTCCAAATTGACCTATATTCCTGAAATGGAGCTCTAACTTCTTGCTCACACATCTGGAGGTGTAAAAATCCTTTGTCTAGTACAGGATCAATCCCATAGGCTTGTGTACGAGAGACTATCATCTGTACTATGATCCACCCATTTTCATGTCTGTTTCCCATTACCTTGTATTTCTCAGCATTGCATAAAGTCACGTTTGGGTCTCTGATGCTGTGTGTTCTAGGCACATTAATATTATGCTAGAAGAGGGACTGGCCATTGTTTGGTGGGTGGAAACTAATAATACACTCATGGAAAAATACCTGAACTTATCAATACTGTAATGCTCTTTGCCGCTGCAAGTGAAAGCCACTGGTCAGTTGATTAGGTGAGACTTTATTCCCTACATACACGTGCATACTTTGATACCACGAAACAGTTATCTCTGCCAAACAAAAGGGTTTCAACCAGAGTTCTTGCCAAAGTTGTGCTGGTGGAGATATTGTGGGACTTATAAGTGATAAGTGTATTTAGGGTTATTTAGGTTATTGAATCAAATCATGTGACTGAATTTTTAAAGGACTGGTTAATTTCTCGTCCATTAGTAATAGCTGTAGCTCAGATCTCATTTTCAAGACTCATTCCCCCTCTTCCCATACTGTGCTGTATTTAAAGATGAATTGGATGTTATATGGATAACAAGAATATTGGCTCTAATAGACTATGCTGCCCCAAAAAAGTGTTGGAATGAATATAAAATCTCATGTTTCAGGTCTTTAAGACAATCTCTAACTGTTAGGGGTTGGGATGAGACTTTCATGGAGTCTGATTATCCCACTTCTGTCTGCTATGGAGTTCTTGACCTTCCTCTGAAGCATTTGGTGCTGGCCACTGCCAAGGACAGGATTTTGGACTAGATGGGCTGACCACAGGTCTGAACCAGTATGGAAATTCATATGTTCTGTGATCGGTGAATTGAGTTTTCTCCTTTCTCTGAAGCATAAGCTATTGGCAACTGCAGGCCACAAGGCCAGATGGAGCTATGGTCTGATCTGGTGTGGCAAACTTTTCTTGTGTGCAGTAGACCTTTTACTTCATTCACTCTAGGGCAACATTGACCCAGAAGGCTTCAGGAAACTTGAAACTGTTTTCACCAAAATGAGTAAGTGCTGTTGTGCATCAAACCCTTTGTCTCCATAACAATACTTTTATCTATGGTTGTCAGCCATTAACATTAGCATTTCCTGTTGTGAAGAGGGCATATGTTGTGTAAGCCTAGTTTTGGCAAATTCTCCTTCCAGTGCAAGGCTGTGTGTTCTGCTCTTAAATGCAGGGATAAATGTTTATGTAATGCTATGTGACTTATTCCTTAGCAAGAGTCACTTGAGGCGAAAAATGTTAGAATAAATATTGGTGTCAGTCGCCTCTTGTGTCAGAAAAGGCTTGCTTTGTGGGAGCGCTGTGTTCTCCCTCCTGTTACTCGCCTTGGAGTTCTTTGGGTACCTGTGTAGCGGTGAGAGTAATGCACAGAGTGTACTTGGCACCTGAACTTTATAGGGCAGCTTGTAAATGTTGTGATAGATTCAGTTTTTGTGGATAAAGCAGTTATGCGGGTTGGATTGTTACATATAAAAACACTCCAAAATTGTTTTCCTCTTTATGATAACACAGTAGAGCCCACTTCTATAGTCAACTTGGCTCACTAGATCACTCTGTTTCTAATGGTATAGTATGAATGCCCTAGGTTTCACTGCATCGTAGTGAGAAAATTGCAGTTCTGGAAACAGTGAAACTTCTTCTCGACAAGAGAAAAATGACTTAATTCTAAGAATATTTCACAGTATATATGTGTGTGTGTGTGCGCGTGCATGTATAGAGCACAAATTGAGAGAGAGTGCAAGCTTACAGAGCAAGATAACATTAACTATCAATCACTAATGATATTTTGTCTGCAAAGACTTCAAAAGAAATTACTCTCCCCTCAGCTTGTATTATTCTATATATGTTACTCAAAGGGAAGCACTAGTCTGTAGGGTTAAATATGAAAATACTTTAGAGCAAATATTTTTAAATGTAATTTTATGATTTATGATCTCTGGCACTTGGATATGGGCATTCCCTTGCCCTATTTGCATGTGCCAGAAGGGACCACCTGGTCTCTACATTTTTCATCTAACATAAAACTAGCTATATCAAAGTGAGGGTTCTTAGGCTTTCACCCAACTTTTTTCATGGCTGCATATTTCAGTCACATTCCTTTCTTTCCCAAGTTATATTCCTCTCTGTCTCCTGTGTGTTGGCTAATGGTATTCTCCACTAGACTACCACACTGGCTTCAGAATAAAGTTTTTTGGTTTATTACACAGAGCTGCAGCTAAAGATACTTCGGAGGTGCCAGCCCCGTGTGGAATTCTAATGTTTTCTGCTTAGACCCTCTTGGGCCAATGGAGCTAGTACATTGTCTTTTGAAACCAGTTAATCCATCTGAAATGTATATATGCAGTTGCAATCTGGTATTGTACAAGTAGTGGCAAATCCTTTGATAATTAGAATCTATACTGTGTTATAGTGAAAAATTAACATGGGTGAGATAGGTGCTCCTGCAAAGATTGCACTAAAATGAACTTGCTATTATTATTAAAAGGTTGTTTTCACTTGTCTGGATGTCACTGATCAGAAGTTGGTAGAGTGGTTTCAACAAGATCATGCTGCAGGGACAATTCGGGGTTCCTGCATGGAATAAAACTTGCTTAAGTGAGTCTTCCAGGCATATTAGCTTTCAGCAGAACAGATGCAAATTGTTATTAGTTACAAATGTCTGTAAATGCAGTTCTTTCAAGCTAAGCTACTGCTGGTCTTGACTCCTTGTACGAGTGTATGGCAACAGCTCTGGCCTCTTGAGAGTCAGAGCTTGATTTTGATGCTTGGTATATAGCGTAACATATATTAAATGTTCTTTCAACAGGAATAGAATGAGCCAGGGAGACTCAAACCCAGCAGCAGTTCCACATGCAGCTGAAGATATTCAAGGAGATGACAGGTGGATGTCACAGGTAAAACTGAAAACACAGCTGACAAATTAGATAGGATCCTCTTTACTAGCAGATTGTGAGGTAGTCAGGTGCATGATGAGCAAAATACAGGTGCTTACATTTCTGATTCTGTTAGCAACGTTATTGATGGCTTCCAGTAACCTGCCACAATAAAAGAGGCAAAAAGCAGCTTTGTGCCATGACCTGCAAACCACATTTTGAAATAGAGTTCCAGAAAGATATTGCAACTGGCTCATTAATTGGGAAGAATTGCCAACCAGTTTATTAAAACTGGATAGCACTGAAGTGTGTAATATATCCTGGCAGTTACAAAGCTGAGAATAGCTGAACCCAAGTGTCTGGACTCGGAGTCTCCTGTTCGTACAACTAGATTGTTAAAGCTACTCCTAGACAGGGTGAAATAGTCTGAGGAGACTTATATTGTGACTAGCCAACAACCTGAATGACTATAGATTTAGAATTGCTGAACACAGTATCTGGAGCAAGCACCCCCTTTGTGTGTGGGGCATAGTGTAGCCTGAGGGGCCAGTCTGAGTTGTAAAGGAGTGGCCATTTAAAATGTCAGAACTTGTCTATGCCAGGGAGAGAGCAGGCACGGAGGAAGTTCCAGCAGTTAAGGAGTTAAACTGAAGATACGTGCCTGAGGGGCAGACAGGATGAAAAGTCACAAAGTTGGGCAGCAGAGGAACTGGTTGGGCAACTCACTTTCTGTGCATGGGCTACAGATACCAAAGGGGAACTGTCAGCTGGAGCTTACCTTGCTGCTTTCTTTTAAACAGCACAACAGATTTGTCTTGGACTGCAAGGACAAGGAGCCCGATGTGCTGTTTGTGGGTGATTCCATGGTGCAGTTGCTACAGCAGTATGAGGTATGGCTGGAGGGGATGAAGTTGTGGGGTTAGATGAGTGAGATGGTGCCTCCCTATCACTTCTAGTCCAGTAACTGGTGAACATATGCAATACTGACAGTGCCTCCCTGTCCTCGGGTCCTTTCTAATCTTACCTCCACTTTTACAGCTGCTTTCCAAACCTTGATCCCTTCCATTTCCCTGTGCTTGCCCTAGGCTTCTCCAGTCCTATCCCGTCAGCCACTTTGAACCTTCACCCCACCCCTCCTTTCCCTGAGGTCACTTGCAGCCTTCTTAGTTTCACCGTACACATCCCGTTTCTGTCCCTCTATCTCACTCTTGCCACTCTTTCTTACTCTGCAGTTGCTGTGTAGATTTAAAATGAATTCTATCCTCTCTTCTCCCCACACCTTCTGTATTCTAGATTGTGCCCATCCCACTTCCAATGTGACTGTTTTTCACTTGGTTCTCAATAATGAAGTTTCCTTATCTCGCAATGGTACAAATATTAAACTTAGTGCCTGTATCACCTTAGCCAGAGAATTTCAATTTAACCCTCTTGCATGCGGTGTCTTAGCATCCTTGTCCCTCTGCTGGCATAGAGACTGTGCTATTGACTATCCCAGTGTCCAGAGATTAGGAAAGGCAGCAACTAGGATATTTTTTAAAAAATGTGTAAAATGTTTTGAAAGCTGTCCCCTCATCCACTATTTCATCAGTAATGGCTACCAAACCGCTTTGCTCTGAAAGTGTTACTTTCCAATGTGACTCATTTGGTTCTAGACTTCTAACTTCTTAGGCAGTAAAAGGAGTTCCTTCAAGATTTCCTTTCCTTCCTCAAAAGTCCCATGTTTAGCTGAGCTCTGGTTCTGGCCTTGATGGACTGGAGATGGCTCCCTTTCTGGGCCATCGACATCCCTCCTGGATGGGCTGAAGGGAGATTGCTCTGTATTAGCTCCCTCTTATCTCTGTGCCAGGACTGAGCTCATTAACTGCTGTGATTCCACCTCTTCTGGCCCAAAGAATGTGTAATGCTTCCACTGGCAGCACCTCTTCTCCCCTGGAGAAGATCTTCACTCACTTCGAATGTATCATTACCTGAGCTACCTCTTTATGTAAAGTGTTTTATTTTTGATGCTGAAGAATAACACTTGATCTAAAATAGTAAATTGGTTTCTGGTTACAGATATGGCGAGAGCTTTTTTCGCCCCTTCATGCATTGAATTTTGGGATCGGTGGGGACACAACAGCTCATGTTCTATGGAGATTGAAGAATGGTGAATTGGAGAACATTAAACCCAAGGTATAAACACAAACAGCTGCTTTTATGTTTTTTCATTTTAGAAAAAAATCTCACTATTGTCTAGTACGGAGCTGAGGGCACCAAAAGTCAGAAGAATAGTCATTCTCTAACCAATGAGCACTTAGCTTCTTCTTTAGAACTCCTCTATAAAAGGTATTTATTTACAAGGAATGTACAAAGTCCTGTGTCTCTGAAGACCGAAGGAATCAAATAGCAAGAAACAGCTTCTTTTGCTCATAGCACCAAAAACACTCTCTTCATCCTGCACCCCGACACAAAAACCTCTCCCTAGGTTTTTTCAGGGTTAGACACTGCATTTAGGTGTTCCTTCAGGTTGTCTAATTTTATAGTTCTATTAACTGAAGGGTGCATTTGTATCTGTCCATCTCAATGAGGTTGTAACTCAGGCCACAACAAGGTTTCACGCAACTAATAACACATTCTAAATGACATACAGTGTACCGGGGTGTTGTAGGCATTTGCGAAGCACCCTGCACCACAATACATAATGTACAGCACAGGTTCAAGTTTGGTCACCATTGTCAAGCACATTCATGACCCCAACATAAGAGTTAAGGCTTAAAAGTAGAGAAATGCTGTAAAAGGGTTTCATTTGAGAGCCAAGACTGTGGTTGGTGCTTTACAAACAAATAAGCCTCTTTACCTGTGATGCTTCTAGTCTGCTTCATACACATCTAGTATGTTGTAAGACAGGCAAGGTGCAAGGGACTCTAGGAGTCTGAATTGGTCACTAAACACAGTGCAGAAGAAGTGTCAGATATCTGTTCCTGTGCTGATCAGGGTAGCTTCCCTTAACACTGTGACTCTGGTTCTGTACTGGGTGAGAGGGAGGAGTCTTAAGTTGACAAGAAATGATTCAAGAGTCAACAAAGCTGACAGTCTGGGACTTTTAATATTTAAGCCTAACTCTTAATTGCTTTGTCTAATTGGTTGCAGACAGCCTAGGCCCTAGCTATTGCCCTTTCCACAAGAGCCAGTATGGCTGCTACAGCCTCTCCTGTTTGTGTACCTTGAGTGGAGTGCTAAACTTGCTGCACAGTTCCTGTTTCCTCTTCACAGGTCATTGTCGTCTGGGTTGGAACAAATAACCATGAAAATACAGCGGAGGAAGTAGCAGGTGGAATCGAGGCCATCGTGCGGCTGATAAATACCCGACAGCCACAGGCCAAAGTTATTGTCTTGGTATGCGCGTCAGAGGGTTGTGATAACATAGCACCATTGGAACAACCCATGTCGTGTTGTTTGCACCCCTGTCCCAATGGTATTGGGTGTTACCTGTGCATTTTGGGGGGTGGGTCGTAACTTATTTACAATTATAAACGCTGTAGGATGGCTTCTCCTGTTCAGGGGGCTTTGCCAACATTATCTAACTTTCTCAACCCCTTCAGAAGAGTATTATCTTCTCATTAGAGGCGTCTTTGTCCCAGACAGAGAAACAGAAGCAGTGAAATCACATGAGAGATGAGGATGATGGAGACAGAGCTGCGACTAGAACTTGAGCAATACCAGTTCTGATCCTGTGCTCAAACAGCTTAAAATGTCTCCTCTTCTGCTGTGGGAGTTGCATAACCAACCATTAAAACTGCATTGAGAGAGGGCATAAGTAGCTAATAAGAATGCTAATAAGAATTGGTGGAAAGAGAAGATTTGCCCATGGGTCAGCAGTGTCCTTCAGACTGTTTTCAGTCATGTTTCCAAGTGGGGCTGGAGGGGGTGAGGAGGATGTGCAGGGGGAGGAGTGGGATAGACCCTTTTAAAGCTCAGAATGAGGGCCCAAGTCTAGAAAGAGAAAGTTACTATATTGTCTGAGTCACTTCAAAGCTCTCTTCTTTGCCTACTTCCCTTATCAGAGCTTACTACCTCGAGGCGAGAAGCCAAACCCTCTGCGGCAGAAGAATGCCAAGGTGAACCAGCTGCTAAAAGCCTCGCTCCCAAAACTCGCCAGCGTCCAGCTTCTGGATGTCAGTGTGGGCTTCGTGCACTCGGATGGCGCCATCTCGTGCCATGACATGTTTGATTTTCTGCACCTGACGGGAGGGGGCTATGCAAAGATCTGCAAACCCCTCCATGAACTGATCATGCAGCTACTGGAGGAGACCCCTGAGGAGAAGCAAGCTGCTCTGGCCTGATCAGCTAATATCAGTGTTCAACATCATCCCAGCCCCATCAGATCAGTTCTATCACTGGCACTACAGAATCCTTCTTGCTTAAAGCACTTTCCATTGTAGAATGTTACTGGATGTTCGTATCGAGTGTTTTGAGGGGGAGGGCTAACGTCAAACTGGTCTTGTACATAGAAGGGCAGGGCTAACTGGTTTTACTGCAGGAAGAAATTAGCTAAAGAAGATTTTTACTTTTAAACCATTCCTCATTTAAAATGAGAACAAGACTGTCACCTCTGTGCCCCTCACATGCATTATTGCTCTATGGTGCCCCTAGATCCCTGTCAGCCTGACTCTAATAACCCATGTGCAGCTCTCGGTTTAGCTTTTCCCTTCCCTAGGCACTAGACTCTGTATTAGCTTGGGAACCAGAATCGCATTCCACTCACTAGAAACAAAACAGCTGCATTTTTTTCAAAAACCGTTCCCACCTTTAGAAGTTTTATTTACTAAGGTTTTTTTAAGAGACACTTGTTGCTTTCTGGCTCTTTGTTTTTGAAGCAGCATGAGACTAAATGTAACTGGAATTCAGAAATGTAAAAAACCAAAGTGTTAGTTGAGCTGAACTCATTTAACACTCCCAAAATATTGTTTTGTTTTACAAAGTCTGTTAGCTGTGACAAACTTCATTCCATTGTTGCTTGGACTGTGGGCAGTCTCATTTGGGTGCTGTTGAATATCATGTCTCCTATAGAACCTGTTCTTTGTTTTGGTTTGTGTACAGTATTGGCAGCTTTTAACAGTTCTTTGGTTTAGGAGCTTAGTTTTCCAGCAAACGTCAAACACAAGCCCGTCAGAAACGTAGAACTGACATTTCATCCCACTATGAGGGCTGTGCTACAGGATTCTGTGCAGTGCTGTTCATGTTCATAGTTCCAATTTTTTTAAAGTACGACTGTTACGCCTTTTTTTAATCCATACTCAGCCCCTCTTTGCAAGGCCTGAACCAATCTAATGCTTTACGAGTTCTAAGGTGTATATTTCTTTATTGCTTCTGTTTTACTTGTACAAACATTTTATTCAAGCAAATAAGGCCTTTGACAGTAAAGAATTGAGTCAGTCTGTAGCCTTTTCCTCTCCTGGACACTGCCCCTTTCCCCTCCAGCAAAGGGAGTTAGTGTGGAGAGTGGACTGTTCACAGGGACTCTCTGTCTCGCTAGAGCTTTTTATACGAGAGCTAATTATAATCTGTGTAATGACTATATAAAATTGTCATTCGTTTAAAGGTGAACAGGAAAAAAAATTTCTTATCAATAAGAAACTGTTTGAGACCCAATGCAGAGCCTTGCTACTTAAAAATAAAAATACTTTAACAAAGTTTATTCTTCCTTGACTTACCTACCACAATTGGAGTTCAGCGGTGGTGGTATCCCTCAGAATGGTTCACACCACCGCGCGCTAAAATACAACAGCCAATGCAGGCCTCTGCACTGGTTGAAGTGTTCGTGAAGGCTGCAGCCTTCAACTGTCATGCTGCTTTTTGGCAGGCAAATGAAAGAGGAACTGATTTTTGTTTTACATTTTTGTTAAACAGGAGATCTACCTAGATTGCTTTTTCCACCCCACTACAAAAAGTACGTATGTAGTGTATATAGCCTGTTTGCCCTTTTATTCTAGTAAAAGGTTCTGTTTAAGGCAGGCTTTAATCTAGCATTAAGGAATACGTTTATGTCCCCATCACGCTTCTGCTGCTGCTGTAGAATGTCATAGCAGGATTTCTGCCTGGATTGCATGCATAGTGTGTGTGTGTGTCTCCAGTATATGTGATCCACACAGAGATGTGGAGGAAAGCCGAAGAATCCCACTTCCCAGAAAGAAAGGTTCAAGTCTGATAGTGCTCAGTGGGAGAGGAGTAGTCCTGGTCTTATCTCCCCAGGCCAGTGTGGGTTGGGGGAGTGCTCCCTGGGCCCAGCAGCAGCACTCCCTTCCCCTCCAACAGCTTGGAACATTAACTGCAGAAACCTCATTCAGCTCTGCTGAAAGAGTGGAAGCCTCAGCACAGGAACTTGGGGGTGTGGAGGAGAGAGAGCAAGCAGATTTTAAAAGCAAGGTTGGGAGGAGAAGGTTTGGCAGGGTGGTATGGGTCCACCTGTAGCAAGAGTGAGGGGATGAAACAGGACTTCGGTCTCTGCTAGTTTTTGAGGGTTGTAGGCTTTTGTTGAAAGGTACCATGTTTGACCCATGCACCAAATGTCTCTCCGTGGTGTCACCACACTGGTAAGACAGCTACTTGCTGGCAGTCTAGTTTTTTTTATATAAAGCTCTAACTCTTTGTAACAGTGCAGTGTGTTTACAGCTGAGGCTGTCTTCAGCTGTGAGCCAGAGCCCCTTGGTTAGGTGCTGATTGCAGTGGTGTGGGTCTGGCCTGTTGAATACACATCCGTTGGGCTGAGGCGGAGTAGCTCAGGTGGCTCTCCATGCTCAAGGTTGTCTTGCTGAGGTGCCATGTTGCTTATGCATGGGTCAGCGTTCGCCGCCCTTCATCTCCAGTCCGCATTGTTTCCCAGCTGCATTAACCAGCTCTGTGTGTAGCCATGGCAGCGGCTGCTGTGGACAGGAAGGGCAGCTTTCTTCTATCTGGGACATTGAAGCTACTGTCCTGTTGCCACCATGTAGCAGTGACCAGGCCATATCCCAGTGTAACCACATATCCCTTGGAGAGGGCAAGGAGGGGATTTTTTTCTCATTGTACCAAAATTAGAGCCTGGTCCTGAGAAGTACTGATCATTTGCAATTTCAACAGTAGGGTGCTTGCCACCTCTGGGGATCAGGCCCAGCAAACCCCAGTCTGGGTGCCCCTGCATAGCCTTTATGACTTAGTCCATTGTAACTGGCTGATTGTGAAAGAACTGACCCTTTCTGAACTTTTAATTTTTTAAACTAATCTAGTTACCGTTTACAGTTGTGTGCTGAAGCCTGGAATCTTGTTTGTGCTGTGGTGTATGAGCATTGCCAATTTTATATTTATTGCAGTGAAGAAAATGCAAAGGAAAAGGTGTGAAAGGAAGGAGAGAATCCTTGTCTCTGAACTCGTATGTGGGTGCAAGCAAGGGGACTCCAGGTGCAGGCTGGGGGACCTCAAAGGCTGGAAGCTTGCACAGTATGTAAAATCCAATTACAGCCCTGCTTCATGGTGACCTTCCTTGGGGTGCTGCCCACTGCTGGGAGCTGACTGAACCTTCCCCAGGAAAAGCTGTGATTCTGCTTTGGCAAAATTGCATTGACTGGTAGAACTCACTATGTTTAGTGCATATTTCAATATAAATGTAAATGTTTCACCCCAATGAGTTCTGGTGTGCGTCTCTCTCTGGTTTACCTGTGTGTGCGTCGGGGATGGGGAGGTGTCCAATGGGTTCATCAGAATGTGTTGGGTGATGCGCAGTGGCTAATGGTTGCAACCTGTCATCACCCAGGGGTGATGCAGTGGAAAGGGTGACATATGATGGGGTGAAAACCTTTATCAGGTAAAAGTTGGCTGTATTCATCCTTGTGGTATTCAAAAGGACACTCATCTGAACCTTCACTTTTAATTTAGCCTCCTGTGTGGTGAGATGCACTCTGATTCTCTGTTGCTCTCCTCTGACTTAACAAGGACCTATTTTTTTTTAAACTGAATTTAGGTTTTGCACCCAAAACTCTGCTCTTTTGTTTTCAGATTGGGGGGCCTACACTGAACACTAATCAGTGTTCAATTATTATTCAGCGGCCGGGGGGGGGGGGGGGTCAATATCCCTGAGACGGAATAGGAAATGAACTTTTGTACTGATGTAGCTTTAAAATCAGTCTAAAGGAGGCAGTGTTTTGAGTCTGAGAGTCAAACTGGGGAGAGTGGTAAGTAATGAAGAGGACAAGTCGCTGATACACAGTGATCTGGATCACTTGGTAAACTGGGCACAAGCAAACAATGCATTTTAACAGGCCCAATGTAAAGTGATACATGTAGGACCAAAAGAAGTCGTCCATCCTTACACAGTGCGGGGACTCTCATCGTGGGATGCAGTCACTGAAAAGGGCTTGGGGGTCATGGTGGATAATCAGCTGAACTTGAGCTCCCAGGGTGACCCTTGGGGATATAAAGGAAATATCTAGTAGAGGAGAGAGGTTATTTTACCTCTGCTGCTGGAATCCTGTGTCCAGTGCTGGTGCCCACGATTCAAGAAGGCTGTGGATAAACAGGCGATGGTTCAGAGCGGAACTGTAAGAATGACCGAAGGATTGGAAAACATACCTTGTAGTGATAGACTCGAGAGAGCTTAATCTGGTTGGTTTAAAAGAAGGTTAAGGGGTGACTTGATCACAATCTAGAAGTACCTCCATGGGGAACAGAAATTTGATAATGGGCTCTTCAATCTAGCAGAGAGAGGTAGAACGCAATCCAAAGGCGGAAGTTGAAGCTGAACAAATTCAGACTGGAGATAAGGTGCAAATTTTTAACAATGAGACTAATTAACCATTGGTACAATTAACCAAGGGTCATGGAGAGTTACATGGATGGTTTTAATCAAGATTGGGTGTTTTTCTAAAAGGTATTCTCTAGTTCAAACAGGACTTAATTCAGAGAAGTTCTATGGCCTGGGTTATGCAGGAGGTCAGACTAGGTCATGGCGTTTAAGGTCAGAAGGGACCACCAGATCGTAACGCTGACCTCCTGTATATGACAGGGCACCAACAACACTCCCACAACAAGCCCAGTAATCAGGGTTAAACCAAAGTATTACAGCCCTCAGGAGACTAGACTTGTGTGCCACTGGCAGAGGCCAGTGGTCCCTTCTGGCCTTCGAACCAAGAAGTTTTTCATAGATTATATTGCTGTGAATCCTGTGTGACCTTGGGCAAATCACTCAGCCTCTCTGCGTTTCACTGTAAACTGCAGTAATAATACACATGGATGTCGTGAGACTTATAAGTCAAGTGCTTTCAGATCTTCAGATGAAAGGTTGTATAGAAATAAAATTCCCGATAGCATTGGCACCTTGTCTGCCAGGCTTCTCACATTTTGTCCAGCAGCGAGTAAACAGAGGTTAATAACAGACACTGACACTTCAGTTTTGGTCTAGAAATTGGCATCAGGCCTTGCATATGGGACTGCAGGTGCTCAATTGGGTGACTTGAGAGTAGCGCCCCACAGTACCATATATTGGTCATAAAGCCCTTTTTAAAAAAAGAGACTGTTGACAAGCTCCCTGTTGGCTTCCACATGTGGCAAGCTTCCCCAACCCATCTGGCTCTGTGCAATGCTGCATGTTGTGGGGAGCTGTAGCAGGAGGCTTGCTTTTAAATAGCATGTGGCAATGCATCACTTTTCTCTCCTAAACGAAGCAAAATGACAACTTTGAGTTCCTGCTGTGTGATCCATAGAGATCATTTATTTTCTCCTGCCCTTATCCTGTAGCTGTCTCTCCTGAGCAAATGTTGACTCTTCCCCCCCGCTGAAATTTGCTATCCTTTGGGGGTGGGGGGTGGTGGTCAAGGTGCCCTTTTAACGTAAACAAGGAATGTGACTGGGAATAGTATGACCTCATAGGTATAAAGGGAGTTGGTATTGCTTCTGAGGCATTTCCTAATAATTCCATGTCAGAGATGGCTGCCAAGCAGTGGTGGATAAATCAATGATTTGTAGTTTGTTTCTGGCGCCTTGCTGACTAAGGAGACTCTGTAAATATAAATGAATGGAGATTGTAGAGGTCTCCACACAGAGACCCTGAAAGACAACGTTGAAACGGGGCAAGGCACTTCCTATGCACTTACTTGCTTGGGTATGCCCTCCGCTCCATGTGTGTCATTGCACTGCTATCCGGCCTGGAGAAAGGATTGAAGGAAGGGCTTTGAAAGAGGCCAGTAGTGCCCTCTAGTGTTACTCTGTCACTTTCCTCTCTGTAAACCTTGCCATTTGCTCCCACGTCACCAGCACTGTGCAGGAGTGACTGGGCGTGAGGATGGTAGGGGAGGAGGAGTTGTCATCCGTGTTCCAGTTCATGTGGGAGCTGGACGGTAAACACAGAATGTCATTCAGGAACATGGGGCAGATTTATTGCTTCTCTTTGGAAGTTGTCCCCACTAACCACAAACGTCTAACTGTGACTCTCTCAGCACCAGTTACAGTCTAGTTATTGCTTAGCCTGGCTGGGAACAGAGCTGCTGCCTCCCTTGGTAAGAGCGGTTACCTTTGGCACTGCACTGTATATTATGGGCGAGACCAGAGGGGCAAGCCTGTCTGAATGCCAGAAGTAAGCCAAGCATAGAATCAGAGAAGTGTAGGACTGGAAGGAACCGCAGTAGCTAGCATGTTTGATTTGAGTTTCAGGAGACTTCATTTCT